AATGTACCAAACAGTGTTTCTTTGCTATTCATAAGGTTTTCCCTGGCCAGTTCTTTGAGAAGTGGACGGCCTCTTCCTTCTTCCTAGTCCGTCTCAGTCTATAAACTGGGCTGTTACCTGTGCACCAGGTGCATCTCTCTGGGTTTTAAACACCAGAGGCTAAGCCTCAAAACTCACATCTACATGTCACCACAGTAGGACAAACCGACAGACAAGTTTGTCCTGCTGTTGGAGACCTCTCGTGTCACCCCCACCTGGGTCCCTGTGGCTGACTGTACCTCTGTCTGGCTTCTGGCTTTTAATCCCCTTTCTCCTGCTCTTCTGGCCTGCTGCTTTGGGCGTCCCTGAGTTGTCCCTGGGGCTGACTGCTCCTCTGTCTGGGTTCCTGGCTTTTATCCCCTTTCTCCTGCTCCTCCGGCCTGCTACTCTGGGTGGGTCTGAGTTTCCGCTCCTCACCTAATCCCTTAGTCTGACTGCTCTTCTCTCTGGCTTCCTGGCTTTTAATCCCCCTTCTCCTGCTCTTCCCTCCTGCTACTTTGGGCATCCCCGAGTTGTCTCTCCTCACCTGTGACCCTGGGGCTGACTGTAATTTACTGTAATGGGGTTTATTTCTAACTCTTACGGATTCAATTCTCATACCCATACAGAGGCCTGTCACTATACTAGTCTTAAAGTTCACATGGGTGTTTTCTCTGCCAGTGACCTAAAAACACACTAAGTAGGAAAGCAAATACATCTAGTTAAAGACTTTTATTGGAGAAGATCCCAGTGCAGGAAGGCTTTCTGCAAGCACTGCCTGACCCTATGGTCACAATTCAACTCAGTAAGTCCCTAAAGCAAGAATAGGCCTCACACTTACAAGGAATAACACATCCTAGGTATAGCTATGTATGTGCTCATAGGAAAGATTAGGGATTTTTGTTATTTTGTGAATCACTGAGGGAAGCTACATGATTAAGTATGTGAGGAAAGAAATTAGATCACTTCTACAATGGACCCTTGTTTTGATAGACTTAAAAACAATTCTTTACAAAGTTACTGGCTTTAAATCAATTTATTTACCATACTACTGATTACTCCATTAGTTAACCATCTCTTGAATCACCAATGTGACTACTGGGTTATTCCCACAGATCTAACATAACCCCTTCACTTACCAGCCTACTTCTTTTTTTCAAATGCTTACTTGCCATCCGTATCTTATACATTCTTTTATATATTCTAGATATGAATCCTTTATATGTCTTGCAAATTATTTCCTGTCTGTTGCTTACCTTTTCATGTTCTTAACAGTGCCTTTCAAAGATGTTTATTATTTTGATGAAGGCCATTTTACCAATTTTTTTCTCTTTAGTGTTCCCCCCCCCCCACTGAAGGAATCTTTGCCTACCACAGTCACTAAGATTTTCTCTTTTTTCCACTAGTTTTATAGTTTTAGGTTTTACATGATCCATTTTGAGTCTAAGATCCATTTTTTTCTTTTGTACATTGTGAGAGGTAAAGTTTTTTTTTTTTTTTTAAATTGTGATTTGAGTGAACAATTACCACAGTCTTGATTACTGTATAGTGTAAATCTTGAAATCAGGTAATCTGAGTCCTCCAACTTTGTTCTTTTTCAAAATTGTTTTGGCTATTATAGAACCTTTGGCTTTCTAATACAGAAAATTAATACAAAAGCCTGCTAGGATTTTGATTGGGATTGCACTGAATTTGTACATCAATCTGGGGATAAAGGGCACATTTTAAATCTGGCCACAATGTTGACCAAGTGGATAAAACATACAGCACAAACAAGTATAGCAAACCACTCTTCCTGAATTAAGCTCTAAGAAAAACTGAAATAAATGAACAAACAAAACATAGATCAGTAATTCCTTATTGTTTATTCTCCTTTTACAAAAAGACACTTGGAACAAATAAATATAAAATGATATAAGCCTTATTTCATAATGGGCAAAGACAGGTTTCTTAGTATTCCCCACAGTAATAAACTAATGAAGTTTTCAGAAGTACACTCATCCTACCCCTCTTACCATTGGTGTGTATGGGGGCAATTCTTTTAATTCCCTACAATTTTTAAGACTGGATTCTCAAAAAAAGTAATCAAAGATTGATTCAGAGACTAAGACATCTGAATCAATAAGTTAAAAAAAGAAGTGTGTGTGTGTGTGTGTATATATATATTTTATATACTGATTTACTTTCAAAGTAAAACCAAAATACAATGTAGCCTAGAAACTCCAACTAATGAATATTCTTATGAATTTTTCATTTCTTATAATTGCACAGTCTTGTTCCATTCAAATCTGCATGGCAAATAAAGTAGAACAGAAAATTAAGTACATTATATACACTGGCTGTATTAAGAGAAAACATTAATTTAAATATAGGTATATTTAATACACAGTGGATATGCTATGTATTTTCTTAAAGCCAACAAAATCTTTATTTTCTGTATCTTATAGGGGATACAGCAGAAGGCAGAGAAAATACCAAAACTATTTATGATCAAATACAGTTAATAAAAGACATCTGCCTCTTTGGATCACAATACATGAACATGAGCAATGATGATTATCCAAGTGTATCTGTTTCACTAAAATTTACCTTCAGGCTAATACCGGAAGAGCTTTGCTAATACTTTCAATTAAAAATTTTTATTTAATGATTTATCCATCAAATGGAAACAAGTACAACAGTAATTTCAAACGAGAACAAAAGGGGTCAGTTTTCCCCCTGTCCTTTAAAAATATATTTTTAAAAGTCCATTTCAAGTAATTCCTTTAGTTGGTGCTTTATAGCCACTTTTCACTTTAAGAAGACCATTTGGAAAGGCAGAAAAGGATATAAAACATTTAAAGGGTCATCACCAAAATAGACAAATTGATTTTAAACTTACTATTTGTACTTTCTTGAGTACCTGGGTCCTGTACTAGATTATTACAATTTATTAGATCACCTGTAAGTTTAGAAACATGAATCTTAAAATAGAAAAACCAGCTTTTATATTTTCAAATAAGCCTCTTTCTCCTTATCTACTCCCAAATATTTTAAGGAGAAAATGAATCTAAATGCTTTAGGGGCTGATTTAATATTTGCTAAAAGCAATCTCTGATAAACTCTTCAAACTACTTAGGACCAGTACCAAATTCGAGGCATCTATTTACTCTGAGGTTTCACAGATAGTGGAAGTACAAAAATGTTGGTACAAGCAGAAGCAAATACAAGAAAAAGCACCTAAAGGTAGAAAATGACAGCTTCCAAAAACCAAGGGATGTAACAAACCATGTTTATGTGCTTCCATGGACATAACAGCTTAAGTCTCCAAAAGACGTAGGTCTTTTTGGTCCTATGTTTAAAACTTTCTTTAAATGTCAAAAGCCAATCTAAATTTTTTGGGAAAAAAAACCACTTGTGGGGGAAGATCACTGAAGTATGAGAAAAACGTGCTAAGTGGCAAGTTACTCTTCTCCAGAAGTGCAAGTCAACATCAAAAAGCCCAAAGTGAGGAGCTAGTACATCAACATGCACAACCAGGAATCCTATAAATCACATGTTGTAATCTGGGGACTTAAATTAGAGTCATGATAGAAGATCGTGTTTCATGATGGAAGCAGATTATGCCCACCACTCACTGAGACATACACACATCACTACTGCTGAGGTCCCACTTTATGGCAATTTGGAAATCTGAATTTAACTCCAGAAAATATAAATCTGGGTATGAACTTGAAGACAGTACAAACATCAGTTGAGTGGAACCTGCCTGCAACAATCTTTTATTTTTCTTTCCTTTATGGCTACAGAAAACCTGCACATAAACGAGGCAATTAATTCTCATAATAAAAATACCCCCCTACAAACAGCCAAGATTTCCAGTCAGATTCCATGGGGAGTATATGTTGTATCACATTTTATTCCGCAGGTTTATTTTCTTGTGACTCTGCAGGATTAAGATCAATTCTTTCTGGAAATATCAGCTTCTCACAAACCGCCTCCTTTATTGGTAAATATTGTGATATTTCATTAGGTTCCGTGAAGAGAGAAGGTGAAACGTGCTAGGAAATACGTAAGTCATGTTAGTGTTTTATAATAGTGATTATACTTGCACTGTTTGGAAATGTTTTAGTTCAAGCATTCATAAAACATGACATAAAAAGCAATACATACTTACGTAATGAACACCATTAAGTATTCCAAATAATAATAAAAATTATCTCCCATTTCTTAATCATAAGAGCACAGGGTTAGATAATTTACAATGCTTCTATAAATGTTCTGAGAATTTAATACAGCTTAATCCAATTCCCTGTATTTGTTGCTTTTGTACCTTGAAAGCTACTGGTCTTCAGTTAAGAGCCCAGAATACAGTCTACGATGGAATCTATTTCATTTTTCTGGGTGTCTACCCTACACCCAGCGAGAAAAATTGGATTTTGTAAAGAGATATAAGAATTAAGGGTAAAAAAAGAACATTAAGTTTTCTCTTTCTAAGCAACCCACCATAGAATCCTAAGTCCCAAGGGAGCCCTTTACATGTCCCAGGGAAGCAAAAAATAGACAATTGGGCCCAAACAAACAAATCATAATACAGAATCACCACATTTTAGGGAGGAAATAAAAGGAGATTAGGTAAAAAAAAAAAACTATAGGGTGGCAGGGTGGTAGTGACAGGACATCTAACTGGTATCGACTGAGGCTTCACCACCAACCAGCTATGTGACTTGGGGTAAGTCACATCTCTGGGTGTCAGTTTCTCCTGAGTAAACATGGTAACTGGATCAGATGATGGCTAGGGTATCTAACAACCCTAACTGCTCTTATATTTGAGGTAAACTCAGGAAAGTTATGCTCCAGTAAGATGTATCTTATTTTAAAGAGCTCTATTATGCAAATGAATGGATTTAAGTATGTATGTCGCAAGGAAGGAGCTCTGGTGGTGGAGTGCCTAAGGCATTTGACTGCTAACAGCAGGTTGGCGGTTCAAACCCACCAACCACTCCATGGAAGGAAGATTGAGCAATCTACTTCCATAAAGATTTACTGCCTCAGAAACCCAAAAAGGGTCACTATGAATCAGAATCGACTGGATGGCAGTGAATTTGGTGGTTTTTTTTTGTTTTTTGGTATATTGCAAAGGGGTGGGAGGGATTCCATACCTAAAATAAAATAACTTATAAAATATTAAGTATAAATACTGTACCATTAAATTAGCAATTTTGCTCTCTCGTGATGTATATTCTCGCAACATGTAGGTCTTGTCGGCCTGTGTTCAAAAAGAAGTCACAATAAATTTATTTATATTAATTTACAAATTCTATTCTATTAAACAGAATTGCCTACATTACAGAATTGGTTGAAAGTAATGTGAAGTCAGGCAAGAGTATCTTGTTATACAATAAGGTAACTCTGGTCTGTGTGCAAAAAGAAATCATGATAAATTTATTTATATTAGTTTACAAATTCTATTCTATTAAACAGAATTCCCTGTATTACAGAATGGGTTGTGAAAGTAATGCAAAGTCAGGCAACACAGTGAGGTAACTCTAGTCAACTCTCACAACAATTTTAAATGATCAGTTCCAATCTATATATGTTACAGTAATACCAGATACACATATGTAAACAGATATAATTCCTAAAACAAAACAAAACACTGCCGTGGAGTTGGATCCAAGTCACAGTGACCCCTCCTTGGGTTTCCAAGGCGGTATTCACTACGGAAGTAGATTGCCCAACCTTCCTTCCAAGGAGTGGCTGATGGGTTTGAACCTCCAGCCTTCTGGTTAGCAGTCAAATGCCTTAGGCATTATGCCACCAGAACTTCTATAAAAGAGAAACACAAGCAAAGGTTTTCTTTTGAAAGTGAATCAGTAACATTATCTTGATAAACATAAATGAGATATGTAAGATTTTTATATTACTTCAAGTCTGGAAATACATCTTTTTCCTAAACTATATTAACATCTCCCTATATAATTGTGACTATTTTTATGTTCCAAAACATATGTTTAAAATTTTTTATTCTCTCCCATTTCAATAAAATTCTTACAAAATTATTTACTTAAAATCATTTTTTACCTACTTCAATTTTTTCCATTTAAGATGTTATTACAATTTGTTTTTTGGTGAAACATTTTCCAATGAAAGAAAAGTTAGAAAATTATATTCCCTTACAATTTAATTTTTTATATCAAAACAGATTAATGCTCACTATAAAAAATCATATGAAAGTATAAAGAAGAGAGTGTAAATCATCGGAGTATAAATCATGAGTCCTAAGAGACTTAAACTATGTTTAACATAGAAATCTCTCCATAAAAATCTATATAAGTAGGTTCATACTCACTTTTAAACAGTTAATACTGAAACATACCTCTTTCCAAATCAGTTAAATATAGCTCTCTTTTGTTGTTTTTAAAGGCTGTGTATTTTTCTACTATATAGATATAAAATAATTTATGATGCGCCAATGAAGGGCATTAAGCTCTGTCCCATTTCTCTTCCTTCCTTCCTTCTTCCTTGGTTCCCTCTCTTCCTTCCTTTTTGCTATTCTAAACAATACTGCAGTGAACATCCATGTTCATTCAACTCCATGCACTTGCCCCATTAGTCCTTGTGGATTACCGTATGACAGAAGCTTTTTTAGGATAAATTCCTAAGAGTCAGTATTACTGAGTTAAAATGTAAGCATTTTTCAAATTTCAATTTCACTCTTTCTCAAGAAGGAAAACAGCCTGGTTTTAGTACTTTATTATCAGTTTTAAAAATAAAAAGGTCTATCACAGTCACTTCATTATTTCAAGAAAAATAAACGATCCAAACTTCAGGGTTTGGGAAAACACAAATCCATTCCCGTATCTGGTTCTGTCACCTACTAGCTGTATAGCTTGGGCAAGTTACTTAACCTCTCCTTGTGTCAGCTGCCTCAGCTATAAAACGGGGATAAAAGCGTATTTACTTCATAGAGCTGTTACGAGTTAATCATTATTATGACTACTGTGACTGATACTGGTGGTCTTTTCTATAAATCATCGTTGCAGAAGATCACAAATCTGAAGTTAGAAATTCATTCAGAAAGGATAAGATGCTATGAAGCTACTAGAAGAATTTTTATGACTCAATTTACTCCATTTTTTTCAACACTCATAAAAAAAAAAAAACCCTATATGTTAATAGTTTCTTTAGAAGGAATACAATTCTCTACAGCACGCAGAGCTTTAAACTTTAAAACAGTTACCAAAATAACTACAATATAAATCTCAGGAGGTCACATGAGTGGTATGTCTAACATTAGCGCATTTTTGTAAACATATATTTAGCACATATGAGATTTTAAAAAAAGCAGCATCAGACCCTCCACTAAGGAGTGTCATTCAGAAAATATTTTCAGCTACCAGAAATTTTGGAAAAGAAGATGTAATGTTTCAATAACCACGCACAATCAACAGTGAGTCCGAAACACCCAATTTTAAAGCTTATCAGGATGTCCATATGACATAAAGCATTAATTACAAACTTTCAGACTACCAATGATACAATAAGAACAGGCCCAATATTAATCTACATAGTCATAAAATGAGAATAGATACCTCATGGTAAAGTCTCGTGTCATTCATTCTGATAAGAACCCCATCAATTCTCAAGAAAAACCGCAATAACAGGAAAAAGCTAGAAGGCATTACTCTCTGAAAAAAAGCACATTATTGACATTTTAGTGAAGATAAAATATTTTATTACTTTGCTAAAAGAAAAATTAAGAGTCAAAAAACAAAACAAAAAAAACCTCTGAGGGCTGATTAGCTGTATGTAAAAATCTGTGACTTAGGAGCTCTTCATCCTAGCTCCCTAGGTGGTGAAAACGGTTAAGTACTCTACTTGCAAAAAGGCTGGTGGGTTCAAACCCACCCGGAGGCATCTCAGAAGACAGGCCTGGGGAAACTACTTATGAAAGGTCACAGCCTTGAAAGCCCTATGGAACAGTTTCACTTTACACACGAGTCTTCATGAGCCAGACTTGACAGCAACTAATAGCAACAACACCTCTTTAAGAGTCTAAGAGACCTATGTGCAAATTATTTAACATTCTAGTTTCAATTTCCTGCAATAGAGAAATGTTCTTCTACATCAAAAGATCTTATGGTTAGAAAGAGTTAAAATATATTCAAGTAACATGAAGATTATAAAACACATTTAAAGAAAAGAAAAAGCAGAAATAACAAAAGACAAAAGATAAGTAGGACTTCATCAAAACTAAGAACTTCTGTGCATCAAATGACTTGACCAAGATAGTGTGAGTCAACCTAAAGATTGAGAGAAAATGTTTGGGAACCATATATGAGAAACTTCTATAATTTAATTAAAAAATGGCAAAGGACTTAAATAGATATTTCTTCAAAGAAGATATCTGAATGGCCAACAACTACATGAAAAGATACTCAATTTATATTTATTTTACACAGAATAAAGACAAGAAATCTTACAATGCATTGCTCTAATTGAGTGCAATTGTTATTAGTCATTGTTGTTGTTGTTGTTATGTGCCGTCGAGTCAGCCCCGACTCATAGCGACCCCTCCTTGGGTTTCCGAGGCAGTATCACTACGGAAGTAGGATTGCCCAACCTTCCTTCCGAGGAGTGGCTGGTGGGTTTGAACCGCCAGCCTTCTGGTTAGCAGTCAAGTGCTTTAGCCACTATGCTACCAGAGCTCCTTATTAGTCATTAGGAAGATGCAAATCAAACTATAATCACTCCTACTAAGATGGCTATATTGTTGTTATGTGCCATCAAGTCAGATCCAACTCATAGAGACCCCTTCTTGGGTTTCCGAGGCAGTATCACTATGGAAGTAGATTGCCCCATCTTCCTTCCCAGGAGCGGCTGGTGGATTTGAACCACCAGCCTTCTGGTTAGCAGTCAAGTGCCTTAGCCACTACGCTACCAGAGCTCCCATAGATGGCTATATTAGAAAAACAGAAAATAGCAAGCGTTGGAGAGGATGTGAAGAAAATGGAACTCTCATTTCTTGCTGGTGGGACTATGAAGTGGCACAACTGCTATGGAAAAAATTTGGAAGGTCCTCAAAAAAATTAAACATAAAATTATCATATGATCCAGAAATTCCACTCCCAGGTATATATACCCAAAAGACTTGAGAGGAGAATCTCAAAAAGATTATCTACACAATAGTGTTTTGTTTTTTTTTTAAGCATTACTTACAACCACTAAAAAGTGGAAATAACCCAAATGTCCATCAACAGATAAATGAATAAACAAAATGTTGTTCATACATACAATGGAATATTATTCAGCTATAAAGAGAAATAAAGTTTTGTACATGCTACACATGGATGAACCTTGAAAATATTATACAAAGTGAAATAAGTCAGACACAAAAGGACAGATATTATTTGATTCCAATCATATGAAATATCTAGAACAGGAAATACACAAAGACAAAAGTTTACCAATGGTGACCAAGGGCTGGGGAATTAATGCTTAAGGTATACTGGGTTTCTGCTTGGGGTGATAATTTTTCTTTTTTGGTAAATGGATAGTGGTGATGGTTACATAGCATGGTGAGTGTAATTAATGTCACTAAATTGTAAGACTGGTTGAGATAATTTTTTGGTGATACATATTTTACTATAATTAAACAAACAAAAAAAAAAACAATAAACTAGTGAAGATTTTTTAAAAATGGTAGTACTAATAGTAAATTTCAACATCAGAAATACTAAAATCAAAGAACAACTTGGTTCTTTGTTGCTACTCAGCTTCTACTCATTTTACTGAGACTACAATAAGAGATCTTAAATGGGCTGCTCTGACTGTACAACTGATTAGGAACTACTGCCAAAGACTGGTGTATCGGAACATTATAATATGTTCTCAACAACGTCTATGGGAGCTCTGGTAGCACAGTGCCTAAGGCACTTGACTGCTAACCAGAAGGCTGGCAGTTCAAACCCACCAGCCACTCCTCAGAAGGAAGGTTGGGCAATCTATTTCCGTAGTGATACTGCCTTGGCAACCCAAGGAGGGGTCGCTATGAGTTGGGTTAGACTCAACGGCACATAACAACAACAACTTCTATCTATGGCATATCTACAAATTTCTGTGTTTTCCAAGTACATTCATACTCTGTATAATATCTGTTTGAGCAACATCCAACAGCATATAGGTCCATCATCCCATAAGGTAATAAAAGAGTTCAGAAATCCCTGTCAGAGAACAGGACAAACAACAGCTCCCCACATGCAATACACGTATCTCCTGTCTCTTGTACAAAAAGTGAATGCCTGCCAGGAGTATAATGGTATAATATATTAAAAACCTCTAATATATATGTCTTGATAGTTATAATACATGTCTATATTACTGGCTTATGTACATACTGTACTGTACTTTCTATGTAAAAAGTTTACCATACAACAGTGTATGTTTCAACTTGTAGGTAGCAGCATTCAATACTGAGTATCAGTTGTCTCTTGAGTGTTGTAGTAGTATCTGTTTAATATTCTTTTGAAAATATTACTGTGAAGTGCATCATGGCTCCCAAGTGCAGCAAAACCAGTGCTAGTGACAGTAGCAGCAAGAGGCAAAAGGAAAGTATCAATTTGGAAGTAAAATACAAGGTTACTAAACAATTAAAAGGTGCAGAATCAGTGAATGCCACTGCCTGCAATTTAGGCATGTTGCATTTGACATTATAATCCTTAAAAATAAAGAAAAAGTTCTCCAAGCTATTAAAAAATTGACTCCACTGAAAGCTACAAGGCTGATGAAAATGTGAGAGGAATCTACATCAGACATGGAGAAATTGCTAATGATGTGGATTGAGGACCAAACACAAAAGTGAATCCCTCTCAGCATCTTGATATTCACTGCTAAGGCACAAAGCTTGTTTGAGATGCTTAAAGACAAAGCAGGATAAGACTATGGTATCAGGTTTGCATAACATCCAAATCATATAATGTCATATTTCACAGAACATATCATGGACAGTAAGCGACATATTATAGCCACTAAAGAAAGCCAGAGTTGGTGGAAACAGTAAGAAAGCGGGTCCTGGTGGTACAACTGGCTGAAGTGTAGATACACTCTTAAACAAGAGTGTATCTGACCAACAAGTATTTATTTTTTAAGCTTGAAGTTCTTATAGTTAAGTCTTGGATTTATAAATGAAAAGAGACGGAGCAATGTTCAAGAAGTTTATTAACATGATATATTGTAATAAACTTATTGGGAAGCACCTGACAGTATGCTATTTATAATTTTTGAGAAAGACTGATTTGCCAATTTCAAAATTAGTAACTAACAGCAGCCTGGGCACAACTTAGGCAGCAAGCATTTTAAAGTGGAACTATCATTTCAAGCACAGCATAGCATAGCATAGCAGGGAGACTAGGAATTAGGCCAGACCTGAGTTCTAGCCCCAATTCTACCATAATTCAACTTTATATTTTAGGGCAGTAGTTTTCTATTATCACAATACTGCCTCCAGGGAATGTCTCGAAATTTGTGTGATAATTTTTAGTTTTTCTGTTGTTGTTGTTATGTGCCATCGAGTTGTCTCTGACTTTATATACAACAGAACGAAAACAATGCCCAGTCCTGTGCCAGCCTCATGATCCCTACTATACCTGAGCCCATCACTGCAGCCACTGTGTCAATTCACATTCTTAAGGGCCTTCCCCTTTTTCGTTGTCCCTCCACTTTGCCAAGCATGACATCCTTCTCCACAGAATGGTCCCTTCTAACAACATGACCAAAGTAGGTGAGACGAAGTCTGGCCATTCTCCCTTCCAAGGAGCATTCTGGCTGCACTTCCTCCAGGACAGATTTGTTAGTTGCTTTGGCAGTCCACGGTACTTTCAGCATTGTTTCAACACCACAATTCAAATAAATGCATCAGCACTTCTTCGGTCTTCCTTATTCATTGTCCAGCTCTCACATGCATATGATGAGACTAAAAATACCATGGCGTGGGTTAGGTGCACCTTAGTCTTCAAGGAGATTATCTTCGAGGAGCTCTTCAGCACTTGAAAGAGGTCTTTTACAACAGATTTGCCCAATGCAGTATGTCATCCGATGTCTTGACTCCTGCTTCCACTGGCATTGATGGTAGAGACAAGTAATACGAAGGCTTTGACAACTTCAATCATTTCTCCATTTATTGGGATGCTGCTTACTGGCCCAGTTGTGAGGATTTTTGTTTTCTTTATATTGAGGTGTAGTCCATACTGCAGACTTTAATCTTCATCAGTAAGTGCTTCAAATCATCTTCACTTTCAGCAAGCAAAGCTGTGTTGTCTGCGTATCTCAGGTTGTTAATGAGTCTTCTTCCAATCCTGATGCCATGTTCTTTTTCATATAGTCTTGCTGCTCAGATTTGCTCAGAATACAGAGTGATTAAGTATGGTGAAAGGTTACAACGCTGACACACTCCCTTCCTGATTTTAAACCATGCAGTATCCCCTTGTTCTGTTTGAACAACAGCCTCAAAGTCTCTGTACAGGTTCCTCATGAGTACAATTAAGTGTTCTGGGATTCCCATTCTTCCAACGTTATCCACCATTTGTTATGAGCCACATAATCGAATGCCTTTGCATAGTCAATGAAATACAAGTAAACTACTTCCTGGTATTATTTGCGTTCAGCCAAGATCCATCTGACATCAGCAATG